GTCTCTGACACCTAAAGCTGAAGTGAAATAACAGAGAAATAAGGATATTTCGTTGGTTGCATTTTTAAAAAATATTTCATTGTTCTTTCCTCAATGTCTCCATCAATGTAGGCAGAAAAAAAGTCATCTATCATTTCCTTTTCATTGCTTGAAAATCTATTCTGTCACTTCCCTCGCATATGTTTTAGCCACCTTGGCCCCCAGGATTAATTTTGAGTCTACCTTTGTAGGAAGGATTCCAAGGGAATGTGTGAAAGGATCTGGGCCGATTCCTCTGGACATGTGCTCATGTTTCAGGCAGCCTGGACAAAGAGACTTTTTTCTAGAATGGTTCATGTGCAGCACCTGGTTTCAAAATACAGCAATCCCTGGGTGACACAGAGCGGGGCCCTACCTTTGACCATTGTTGCAAAGTCCTTCCCGACAGAGTACTCCACAAGTTCAAAATCAAGTTCCTGTTCCATCTACCTCGAGACTCTGTATTGCATCAGCCACTGTTGTGAACAGACCTTGACTCTCTCTCCTCCTCCCCCCCATCTTCCCGTACTCCCATCAGAGAAATAATGGAAGGCATTTGGCATTTGACTGCTCAGTCATTTACACTCTAGCTTTTCACAAGCTCTTAAGGGACAGGGGAACAAATGATGGATGACATATTAAAGGAGGCGAATGATGAATAAATGAGAATGTCAGCTAGATTTCCATATTCTACAGGGTATGGTAAATGTAGTGTTTTGTTTGCTTTTTTTTCCCCCCTTTAAAAAAAGAAAAAAAAAAAAAAAAGCATATCCATCTGTTGAAGTCCAGAAGTTGATGCATACACATCCAAGCCTTTGCTGATGCTTTTGAGGTCAGGCTGATGAAATCGAATGGGGCTTCAGATTTAATATGAAGAGCCAGGAGGGCCGAACTTACAGTCTTTAAATCTGTCATGTTTAGCAACTATTAGAGAAAAGAATGAACTCTCAGTTGTCTCGGGGAGATAATTAACTGTCCCAGATCACCTCCCTCCCTCTGACCAGCCAAATCCTATCTAGTTTTCAGTTTCCTCTCCAACACTTCCCCAGAGCAATCTTCCCATTTTCTAAACTCTCATCATTTGTTTTCTATAATACTCATAGAGATTCATCTCCGGTGCCTTGTTTCAATTCTTATTTTGATTGCCTGCCACTTTCAGCTGTTTAACTTTTTGTGTATTCATGCTTTGTCTCCTCAAATTGTTATTCTTCTAGAAACTAGCAAGTTTTAGCACAGTATTCCAATAACTCATTGTTATCTGACATTAATATATTTCATACTTATTTGTTTATGACTGTGTATTTTTATACTTATTTGCTAATGACTTCCTCACTAAAATGTAAGTTCTAAGAAGGTATTGGCTTTGTAACTTCGGAAGCATTAAGAACAGTGTCTAGCAGATAACAGGGCCTCAATAGATGGGTTAAATGGGTAAATGGATAACTAACTTGGCTTTCCCCCTTTTTTACTTTAAATTGTAACATATTTAGCATTCGCTTTAACAAAGCAGGCAGCAATCAGAACCTGCATAGGAGGTAGACATACATATATAGATTCAAATCCACTTTATTGCTTACTTTCATTGTCTGGCTATCTGATATGGGGCAAAGCACTGAACTTACCTGTGCCTTAGGTTTGTCTCTTTAAAGAGTCTAATCGCACCTACTTCATAAAGTTTATTAATTTAATAAGATACCATAAAAGAGGAAAAACCATTTTCCCTCTGCCCTTCTAAGTTCCTGCCTGAGACCTCACCTGTAATAAAAAGACAAAAGAAAAACAAATTTAATTATGTATAGTACATGTGGGAGTTCCACAAAGCTATGAGAATCAAAAAAGTGGCCAGAGTAGAAAGCTTTCATATTTTTAGACAAAGAAACAATAAATATGTGAAGAATTGACAAGACAGAGTTGGGGACTAAATGTAGTAAAATGGGGAAGATTAGCAAGATTTTTTAAAAAATATATATTTTATTGAGTTTTTTACAGAGAGGGATGGAGAGTGACAGAGAGCTAGAAACATCGATGAAAGAGAGACATCGATCAGCTCCCTCCTACACACACCCCACTGGGGATGTGCCCACAACCAAGGTACATGCCCTTGACTGGAATCGAACCTGGGACCTTTCAGTCTGCAGGCTGACGCTCTATCCACTGAGCCAAACTGGTTTCAGCGATTAGCAAGGTTTATATAAAGAGCCCTGTTCCCTAAATTTCCTGTCTCTGGTGACAAGGATGCCTTCTACCTTCCTGGTTTCAGGGAGGGTACCTTTCATATGGTATCTACCTTCATCCCCTTCTAGATGAAGGTGGTTCAGAGTGTCCTTACCCCCGCTGTTTCTCAAGTCCCTTCCATTCAAAATGATCAATATGCCAAATTGTTGTATTTTAGGGTGACATATTCTGAACCCCTGTAATACAGTATTCAGCATCAGGGGTACAAACTTGATTCCTTTTGGGTGACTTAGCTTCCAGCAAAATGGATAGGTGTGTGAAAAGTGAGCATCGATAATTGAAATGTTCCCACAAACTTAGGAAAAGATGTATTGTTCTGTGGCCTAGGCAACAAGCGGTCATCACAACCAGATTTTCACCTGTTCAACCCCTCCATAGCTCACCTCAATGAATACACTCTTGCAACCCAAGCATCCAGGATCTGTCACCCCTTCCAAAATCAGACAATCAAGGACAGGCCCACCACAATAAACATGCCTATGCGTGCCTGCAAGTCAACCAGGGTATCACCTAAGGAAGCGAGCTTTCAGAGATGATGTCAGCCCTCTGAGGTCTCTGGAAGTCCACCAAACGCTGAGCCCCATGCTTTCAGAAAACTCTATATGAGATGGGCCATCTGCTGAATGGGGGTCCCATCATCTTGCGACCTCATGACAATAGGCATAATAACAAGTAATAACCACTTTAGATACACTATTATTTCACTTGGAGCTAATGACAACCATATGCGGTGGATTCTATTCTCTTGGAAGGGGAAACACAAAATGTGTAGTTTTTCATAATGTTTTTTTGGGCACATTGATTTCCAGCCACCATCTTCAGCACTTATCTAAGTGGCGTGTTTTTAATTTAAGCTTCACAATTGCCTCATTTTACAATCAAATAATGAAGCTTAGCAAGAGTAGAAAGACTGAAACCCTTCCAGTGGCCACATCACCATCCCTTCTCTCCACAGAGTAACAGCGGTGGTGACTCCATCAGCAGGATCAGCAAACAGGAGCTGGACATTTGTTGTTCTCTGTTTCTCTGCATTTTCTCACATAAGACTAAGAAGCTCCGGCTACATTTTCTTCCATGCCACACACACACACACACACACACACACACACACACACCCGCCAATAACTAGTTTCCTTTTCCTAATTTTTTTAAATTGATGATGCTCCAAAAGGCCTTGTGCTAGATCCCAATACCCTTATGGTTTGAAATGAAGTCAAGTAATGAACCTTGGTAGAGGTAATTCCTTATAGAAAGCACTTGCTTTTGAGGAAGCTGCATTTCCATAGAGATAATCTTCCATGCTACTAAAGGAAGCAACAATGAATGAGCTTTTGTTTTAAAATTTTCAACTCTTACTTAATTGACATTTTCCATATTTTAATTTGAAAATTATCACAAAAGTACAGGGAATAAGAGCATGAATCTTACATGCTCATAACCCAGCTCCAGGAATGACCAACTCATGGCCATCTTCCTGTGTACTTCATCCACCGGCCTAGCCCCTGGATTACTTAAAATAAACAAACCTAAGCATCATTGGTCAATATTTCAGCATGTTTCTCCAAGAGACAATGATTCTTTTTAAACATACTTGTAAGATTATAACATATAAAATTCTTTCATACCAAATATCCAATCATTGCTCAATAACAGTGCTAATACTAATTATCAAAAACATATCCTAAAAGAAGTTAAGGATTTTTTTTTTCAGCTTCATTTTGTCTTTAAAGTATATCCCCCTTGGAATATTCAGTAAGAGTCCTGCTTTTTTTAAATCTTTTTATTGATCTCAGTAAGGGAAAGGGAGAGAGAGAGGAAACATTCATAATGAGAGAGAATTATGGATCAGCTGCCTCTTGCCCCCCGCCCCACAACTGGGGATCAAGTCTGCAACCGAGGCATGTGCCCTTGACCAGGAATTGAACTCTGATCTCCTGGTTCATAGGTTGGTACTCAACCATGGAGCTACATAGACTGGGCTAAATAATCATTTTTTTAAGTTTTATGTTTTTCCTTTGCTTTTAAAAAAAAAATCAACAAATCTGTGTATTTACTTTTATATGCCCCCATTTTAGCTAAATGGTGGGTGCTTTACATACTTTCCCCCCATTCCACATATGTCACTTATTTCCTAGCGATGCCCCCTAGTAATATATTGAAATGTAATATATCTAGTTTCCAGCATAATACTCTGTGTGGATGTTTCATCATCTTTAAAGAAGTCCCCTACTGCTATAATAAGTGGCAATTTTCAAAAAATAAATTATGCAACTCTTGCACTCTTTTGAAGGTTCTTAATAAAGCATGACATTTTTTTGGAACCATGGAAAATTTTATATATATATATATATATATATATATATATATATATATATATATATCATTGCTAAAAAGCTATAAGACATTTTAAAACTTGCTTATCTATTTGTGTGGGGAGAAGTTTCAATTTTTGCTTATCTATTTGAGTGAAAAAACAATTTTAAAACTTGCTTATCTATTTGTGTGAATAAAAGTTTACAAATTTGCTTATCTATTTGTGTGAAAGAGTACACAACATCTCAAAATTGGGTTTTCAAACTGCTTTTCTTTTTCCAAAAATCATCGGATTCGAGGCCTACGTGATTTTCAGAAAAGATAATATAAAATGGGACACCTAAAAATAAGATTAAATTTGGAGAGTGAATACATGAATACATTTATTCCTGTTGGCATATTTTTAATCATGTTCCTGTCTTTTCTGGGCTTAGATCTGGAAGAAGCTAATGGCAGCTACTGAGCCAGCATGAATTGGGGCCCACACCTCGGCTTCCCAATGTGTTTCGGCTTTATTTCCTCTGCTCTCCTCATTCTCATACAACTGTATTCATGAAAACACAGGTAAGCAAACTCAGTGCGCATCACACATATCGACCCTCCATGAGTTTCTAAATGAATTTCCCGTCATTTCAACTACAGTCCTAGTCTTGTTCCTCCCTTCTTCTATTGTTTTGCTGCTAGTCTCCTGTATTCCTTGGTTTTAGCAGGAATAAACACCTACTCCTTAACAGGGTTAGACCTTAAGTTGAATCCAGCACATGATTTTCTTTTTTAAATATATTTCATTGATTTTTCACAGAGAGGAAGGGAGAGGGAGAGAGAGTTAGAAACATCAATGAAAGAGAAACACCAATCAACTACCTCCTCATACTGGGGATGTACCACAACCAATGTACATGCCCTTGACCAGAATTGAACCTGGGACCCTTGAGTCTGCAGGCAGACACTCTATCCACTGAGCCAAACTAGTGAGGGCCTATGGCCTCTGTTTTAACCCTTATAGCCACCTCCACACCCCTCTCTCTTCCTAGCCTCTGCCAACCATTAAAATCTTCTCTATCTCTATAATGTATTGTTTTGTTTTGTTTTGTTTTAATCCTCACCTGAGGATAGTCTTTTTCTTTGATTCTCAGAGAGAGTTAAAGGGAGGGAGGGAGAGAGGAGGGGAGAGAGAGAAACATTGATATGTGAGAGGCACATTAACTGGTTGCCTCCCGTATGCACCCCCACACCGAGAGGTGAGGAATGAATCTGCAACTGAAGTATGTGCCCTTGAGGAACTGAACCCATGATCCTTTGTCCATGGGCCTATACTCTAACCACTGAGCAAAAAACAGCCAGGGCTCTTTTTTGTTATTTTAAGAATGTTATATGAATGGGATCACACAGGTTAGCATTTTGAGGTTGGTTGTTCAAACTCCGCATAGTTCCCTTAAGATGGATCCCCACTTCTGCCTGCATGAACAGTTTTATTGCTACATAGCATAGCATGCCTGGTGTGGAAGTGTCCTAGCTTGTTCAACCACTCACCTGTTGAAGGCCATTTGGGCTGTTTCCAGACTGGGCCTATCACCCATAAAGCGTCTATGAACATTTATGTACCGGTTTTCGTGTGAACATCAGTTTGCATTTCCCTGGGCCCGATGCCCAAGGCTACAATTGCTGAATTATATGGTAAGTGCATGTTGAGTTTTTAAAGAAACTGCCAAGCTCTCTTCCAGAGCGGCTGCACCACTTTCATTCCCAGGATCTGAGCAATCTCGCTTCTCTGTGTTCTCACCAGCGTGTGGTGCGGGCACTCATGTTTATTTTAACCCTGATAGGCATGTAGTGATGGCTCGTGGTTTTACTTTGCGTTTCCCTAATGGCTGGTGATGTCGAACATGTTTTCATGGGCTTATTTTTACCATCGGGGCATTCTTTGCTGCGAAATGCCTGTTCATGTTTGCCCATTCTCAGATTGGGCTGTTTTTGTTATTGCTTTTGAGTGCTGAGAGTTCTTTACATATTCCAGATCCAAGGTCTTGGTTGGATATGTGGTTTGCAAGGTTTTCTTCCAATAGGTAGCTTGATTTTTGTCTCTCCCTCACACGGTCTTTTGCAGATCAAAAGTTTATTTTGATGAGCTCAGATTTATTAGGTTTTTTTAAAATTTTTTTATTGATTGAGAAAGAGAAAATAATCAATTTGTTGTTACACTTATTTATGCATTCATTGGTTATTTTTGTATGTGCCCTGACTGGGGATCGAACCCACAACTTTGGCATATTGGGATTATGCTCTAGCCAACTGAGCTACCCAGCTAGGGCCAAATTGATTAATTTTTCTTTTTATTGTGCTTTTGGTGACAAGTCTAAAAACTTTATGTAGCCCTAGATCCCAAAGACTTTCTCCTAACTTTTTTCCTAAAAGTTGTATCATCTTACATTGAAATCCATTTGGGGTTGATTTTTATGTAAAGTCCAGGTTGAGGTGCATGCACAACCTTTTCTTTAATCCTCACAGAAGACACCAATAAAAACTTCTGAATGTATGCCTAGAGTCAGACAGTGGAAACTGAAGTGAAATTCTCAAGAGCATTGGTGCTCTTTGATATCCAGAAATGAAGGTATCATCGTACATCTTTTATGAGTCAGGAAAAACTTCTAATTGGGTTACAACTTCTGGTTGTAACCCTAATAGCATCTAGACACAAAGAATAAAACTAAGAGGAAATTACTAATACTGGTTAAATAGTTAAGCTAGTTGCAATCTAGCCTAAATTGATGATTAGAAATGCTAAGAGTTAAAAAAGTATATTTCTTAGAAAACTGTGTTTTCCAAGTTCCCTATTTTTTTCATTTTTATGCATTTAAAATTTTTTAAAAAAATATTTTTATTGTGACTCCTTCTAGTTCACCCCTGCTCCCCACCCAGACCCTCGCCAACCTAGTGTCTGTATCCATAGGTTATGCATATAAGTTCTTTGGATAATTTCTTCCCATCCATCCACCCAGCCACGCCTCCCTCCCCTCTGAGATTCGACAATCTGCTCCAAGTTCCCTATTCTTGATATCAAACCAAACCAGCTCTTATTCCAAAGCATAACTCCCGGGATGCCATCTAGATTCTGGATATTGACACTACACTGGTGCTATTCATAACAAGACAAAAGTCAATGCCATGGACCTTGTGTGAAGTCTCTTTGGCTTCCCTCCTGTAGAAAACAGTTTATATCATAGGGACTGTCCGCTTGATAAAACACCATGGTCCCTCCTGTAGCAGGACCCTGCTGGAGAAGGGGTGAAGGCACCCCCAGAAAGTGTGCAAACAGGGGTTTTAGTTGATGGTGATGGTAGGTCATTGAGAAGCATTTAGAGGAGCGATGTGGTCAGATCAGAGTGCCTTATAAAAATGGATTGCACACTAGTTAATCACATGCAATGGTAACTGATGTCTACCTGGTATTCTTTCATCCCTGAAAGAATATAAAACAAGGCAAAGAAAGCCAAAGCAGAGATAAGAGAATATTTCTCTTTGGGGCAAAAATAGCACCAGCAAACAAAGAGAAACTCTACTTCTCACTCAGGTGAGAGGGCAATATTCAGTAATGTCTTTTCTGGCTCACGTTGGAGAATTTCAAGGAGGACTGCCCTTTCTTATGAAAGGGCATAAGTATTTTGGGAACATGAAGCTTCATGTTTAAAATAATAGCAAGAGCAACAACAAGCACAAAAAGGCTCTTCTGTTTCAAACGTCTGTTTAACCCTTAGCTATGTTTTTAAATGCATGAGCCCCAGTCTGAGGAATGCGGGTTACCGTTTCTATTGCCCAATCTCATTAGCAAAAGACACCTCTCCAGCAATTAAACCCAGCCCAAAGAAAGCGACTGTGAAACCCTACCAGGCTGAGCTTTGATTCAAAGGAAGGATAGATGAGAAAACAAAACTTGAAAACCCAGGGTGGTGTTTTCAAAATGACTTTTCATTTCTGTGATTAGTGGGGGCCCATCTTTCAATGTTTCTTAATTTTTTGTAGAGTAGGAGCCATAGATTAAGGATGGAAGCTAGGGTATTTGGGTCACCGGTAGATGCCTGATTATACCAGTGAATAAATAAATGCTATCCACTTTTTCAAGTGTGTATGACTTATACATTTCAGCCAATAAATATCAGCACCACGTGCTCAAGGTTTTTCTACTAATTTCTTACTCAAGGACAGCATTTCATCAAACCAAATGCTCAAAATGACTTACTGTGGCAGGTGATGTTTTCAAAATGGCCAGAATGACAGCTATTTGCAGCAGAAATTTGATATTGAGAGATGTGGTCTGTGTTTTCTCCCCTTGAAATCAGATGCAATGTATTGGTGGTGATGGAGTGAGACTTTCAGGGCTAGGTCACAAAAGGCACTGTACACAATTCAATGTTTAAGTTGAAATAACTTGAGTTGAAACAACTCATTGAAAAAGTTACAATTTAAATCAAGGGGTGGGGATTGGATGAAAGAGAGCATAATCCGTAAATTTAAAGGGATGGGGGTTGTAGAGGGATGGGTGGAGGTGGACAAAGGCAAGGGGCATCTTTAATAGTGTCAACAATAAAAATAAACTTTTAAAAAAGATGAATGGGAAGGGGAAAAGTTACAATTTAATGTTGTTTGGGGGTTTTGGAGAAAAAATAGTGGGTGCTAAATAAGATAATTTCTGTGGTGTTTTTTTTTTTTTTCACAAATATGCAGATTGTTATAATCAAACTGACCAATAAAATTTACATATAGAGTCACAGTCTAATATACAATGAATAAAAATTACCCATTGAGCCAATGAAAAGGACCTAAGTAAGGCTATGGACATATTAAAGGCTCTTACTACTAACATAATCTGTTATCATAAAAAAATTGATCTCATTTAGGTTATGGATGACATAAAATTAAGATTTGATTCAAATCAGTCACACACAAAAAGTGAAGTTGCTCATTTAAATTTGAGTCAATATACAAAATTAATTCTTTATTTTTCTATATGACTTTCTTAACCAGCTAAGCTACTCTAAGAAAACATGCTGGGTTTTGTTGTGTAAGACATGTGCTTAAGCCAAAGTCATCAAAAAAAGTCATTCAAACTGGTTATTTATTGACTTACAGACAAAAGCACCAGGTGACTGTCTGAGTTTTTCATCTGACTGATTTGTAGTGCTTGGTCCACTCGAAGCCAGTGTGAGAATGTCCTCAGCTGACATGCTCAGACATTGACTTGGTGCCCGGATAACAACAACAACCACCAGTCAGACCTGCCCTCATGACTGGGGTTTCCCACCCAGGACCCCTCACTGCACTGGGAGTGTGGAGGTGCAGAGAGGACCCCAGCCCCCAGATGGAAAGCAAAAATCAGAGGCTAGGAGAACGGAAGTCCTCAGGGCAAAGGCTGAGTCACACTCAATGTCAACAGTCTAGGAGCCAAAAACAAAGTCATATTAAAAAATTAAAAAGAAAGTGTCAGTACGGGAGATAACAGCCCCACCGGTTTGATCTCTCCTTCCACTGGAATCTATGTGATATTTATCTAGGATGGTTATTATCAC